CCATTTCATCGTCAGGTGTTTTAATGTCCAAACTTGTAGCTGTTACAATTTATTTTGATGCAAGTAACCCATGAAGATATTAGTACCGATCTTTATGTTTGTTTCGCACATTGTGCTTATCTGTTCACCCCCTCTGTATTACCCAATGGGCCTTGAAGGTATTGTAACAAATAAATAAAAAGTCGCACTCCCGGTAAGAGCGCACTCCAACTCATGGAGGCCAGAAGGCGACTTAGGTTTTGCGCAGGCGCAACAACTTTAGCCATGTGAGCCTCCTAGCCTCTCGTGTCTTTCTATTGATACTTTTTTACTGCCCGAAGCTTGCAGTAGCTAAAGCTGAGGTGCTATTTATGAAACTACAACGAAACATTGTTTTTTTAGTTTTAAGACTCAATGAAGTCAAAAGTAAGTACGTCACTTCAAATTTTATTTGAAAACTTTCGGGGGTTCATGTGTTCGTGCGACAGCCATTCACCGTTTCAAATGATGAGCAATTGCTCTCAAAACGTCCCCCACAGCCATGGTCCGTCGGTTCTCATAAAAAAGGCGGACCTTCTCATTTCTTGCCGCTATGGCCATCTTCTGGCGAGGAGGCTCTTGGGAACTCAGCATCGCCTCCAGCTTGTCTTCCGTCAGTTGATGTTCTGTGGCGATGCAAGTCAAAAACTTCCAGAACTTGGGATGGGCACCTCCGACCAGCTTCAGGAAGCGGGAATGCCACCCTGGCGTTCGATAAGACGGCGTTCGATAAAACGGCGTTCAATGAAACGGCGTTCGATGAAACGGCTTCGATGAAACGGTGTTCAATGAAACGGCATTCGATGAAACGGCTTCGATGAAACGGCGTTCGACGAAACGGCGTTCGACGAAACGGCGTTAGACGAAACGGCGTTTGATGAAATGTCCGGTCCCAATATATATATACTGTAAACGACTTCATTTTCGCGGGCTCAAATTTTCGCGAATCGGGCCAAAGCTGAAAACTTGAAATTATTCGCAGGTTCTAATTTTCGCGAATCGAGTGTAGCTTCCATGGCGTTCCCATATTGCCCGAATTGTTCGCGGGACGTATTTTTCGCGAATCGTAGGTGATTCGCGAAAATTAGGCCCTCATGAAAATTTAGTCGTTTACAGTATATATTATTGGTCAAACCTCATATTCAGAGTAGGAGGAGAGGAAAATGGTGCAAATATGTATTTCACTGCATCTCTACTCACCGTATAGTTTGTTTCATCTTAAGTTGGAGCACAGTTGAATGCTCGAACACATACAACCACGAACACACATACTAAAAGTGCAAGTGACCAGTGACGGGAAATTCGCTGCATGTGAATGGTTTAGCCCATGAAAGGACATGTACAGGAAGATGACGAATGACATGATGTCGTGCTTTGATGCTGCTTGATTGGTCCCATTGGCTCGTAGCGTCGTCTGCACTTTGACATAATGTAAAGCTAAGTACCTATAGAGACTACTCCTCAAATGTGCTGGTCGGTTGATTGCCGACATCGTCTAAATTTCCAGACTATGTCGGTGATGTCAGGAACTAGAAGTCGCTAGAAAACTTTGCAAACTAGTAGGATGGCGGCTCGGCTCCTGTGATAAGACAGAACCAGGTTCTTTTACTGTTGATTAGATCACTCAATTAACATGTCTGCCACATGCCTCCATGCCATGGCTGCAGTGTACAGTGTCACTTGCACCGCTAGCGTCGACCTTCATCGCCTCTCTCCAGCGCGCACGTGCGTCGAGCTTCGCTGCTTTGCACCGGAGTGCTGGGAGCTGCGGCTGACATGGCAGAGTGCCTGAGTTAGTGTTATAGGCATGGAAATTATGCTCAGTATTACAGATCTACCTTCTTTTGTCATGATTGTAGGTTGACTTCCAATTTTAAAAATCCGCGCTAAGAAAAAAGAAAAAATTCCGAGGAGACCTAAGCACTTCTTACAAGTTGTGAATGCAAAAGCATGAATGTCGTTCTTCGCGCTGCGGCTGCTTCTGATCCTCTTGGCGCCGCAGCCGTTTCTGCTCCTCTTGGTGGGGGCCACAGCGCCATGGAGTGTGGGGTGGCATTCCTTGGAACTATGCCGCGCACCAGCCAATGGGCGTTTAACTATCAATTCTCTGCTACAGACTACAGGCTTCGCTTCACAAGACAGGGGAATTTAGGTGCCGTTTGACGCAGCTTCAAGAGCTGATTATTGTTCAATTGTTCTGAACTGTCCTACGGTTCGCTCCATGGGACCAGTTAATGCTTTCGCATTAAAAAAAATGAAAGCCGTTTACAACTCCCTGTAACGCCGAATTAGAGCACAGCTATTGAGGAGGAGGAGGGAAGGGTACCGGGGGGAAGGTATATCCTTCCTCCCTCCTCCTCACCTCCTCATCCTGTCTGCTACTCCTCCCTCCAAGCGGCGTCGCCGTCGCCTCACGAGGGTCACGTGACCTCACGTGACCCCTATGAGGTTACGTGACAATGACATCATTAGTGACGTCATTATCACTAGTGACCAACTTTATTAGATTAGCTCAGTTACGGAACTGCTCATAGACGCTGCATGCACGAGCAGTACTCCCCTCACTCACCACGACTCGCCCGGTGTCGCTCGACGCGCCGCGAGACGGCTGCTTTGGTAACTGAATCGGGATACATACGTTTCAACGTTACTAGAAATGCAAAAACCAACGGAAAAAACTCTTTTTGTAGTAACTTTTATTGAGTTTAGTACAAAATGAGGGGCGCGTGATGTTTTCTAAAATCTTTAGTTTGCAAGGTTTTGCAGCACAATTAATATTGTTTTTATACAACCATGCCTCAGCGGTGATTTCAGGTGGCGTGTCCCCACCTAGGTGCATCTTAACTTCAGTGGTATTCCGCGGCTCGCCCGCTGGGGAGTCGAGGGTGGCACCCCTGTAACCCTTTCCACCGCATCTGTTTCGGCTACGAAATGGCCGATTGAAACCAAAATAGATGTCACGTGCAGTTCCTCGAGTGACCGCTGCGGGAGAAATGGCGGTGTTGTGATCGCCATTTGTCGCTTCAGCTGTGCTCTTTGGAACACACAGTTATGAAACGAAAATATAGATGGCACTTCGAACGACGGCTGGCAGATTGAAGTGAGTGAGGGGGGTACCCCCCTCCGCGGGAGTTCCACAACTGAGGTAATCTAGTAACGTTGCTAGTGAAGTCATCAGTGACGATGCGGATGCCGATGACGTCATCAGTGATGTCATCAGTGACGTCACGTGTCCCATAATGCCCCGCGCAGTTAGCCGATGGCGACGCTGCTCAAGCCAGAAACGGGCGCCTAAAGAGCTGCGCTCTAAAAGGTCTGCAATTGAATAAATATGGTAGTCAAGGTTGTTTACGTGCAGCTGTCAATCGAAAGAGTAGCGAACTTAGACTTAATTTGGGTTAAAATACCATTGAACAGCAGTGTCAGCTTTAAAGCACAAGTGTAAGCTTTCACAATATTTGTGGGTGATTGTTTTTGCACTAGATAACAAAGTATAAAACAGAGAGGACGAAACACAGACGAGTTCGTCCTCTCTCCGTTTTATATTTTGTTATCTAGTACATCTTACCAAACACGCTCGTTAGGAATATTGTTTTTGCTATGTTCATAAAACTTGAGGGACACATTTTTATTCATAGATGTTTTAGTGGATATGCTGGTTTTTTTCTGGCATTTTACAGAAATTATATTTACAGGCTAAATTAAATACCGAATCTAAGACGGGGAGGGGAGAGGCTTTAATGGAAGTGTTGTGCTCATTTTTAAATTTTTTTTAATACCCATTTTAAGTGGAACGTACTCTCATTATTTCTAAAAAAAAGAAAAAAAAATTGTGCCCCATTTTTATTTAAAAAAAAGGCAATAGGTAATATGCTCCAGTGTCAAAGAGGAACCCTCAATCATTATCATTCAATAACTCATTTAGCAATGCAATCACTTTTATTTTCAATAAATAATAGTATGGTTCAAACTGGAATCCGTAACAAGTGGCTTTTGTCGTGACCCAGAAGTACAGTGACTGGCTGGCCTGGAGAAACCTTGACAAGATATAAGGTACACCCACTTTTGTCAATTGTCGTAGATTTGAAAATAAACCGAAATGACCTCTCCTAGGGACCACCAACTCTGGTGCTCCGACTCAACCTCTTTGTGGAATAATCTTATTGTTTTGCCATCTTACCTCAGTTTATTTTTCAGATAAATCCAAGTTCACAAAAAGTTTACCAGCAAATGTTTTTCAAACAAAAAATTCGAAAAAAAAAAAAATACAGGAGCATGGTGAATGACGATGCTGAACTTTTATTCTCATTTGAAAATGCTATTTGGGCTGACACGGAGCATGACATTTCACATGCCCAAAATTCAACACCATCTTTTGTTTTTTTCTTTTTTTGCCATCATTGCTTTGTAAATTTGAGTTTTCTGGATAAATCCAAATTGACGAAAATCTTACCAGCGAGGGTTTCTAGTATTTTTTAGGATTTATCCAAAAACACTGCACCCTAGCCATAAAACACTATTTCAAGGCAGATTGATTCCCTGGTGCATAAACTTACATATAACTGATTCAGCAGCAGATGTGCACAGTATACAGACCAGATAAATGGGTTCAATTGATCATGGGACTAAAGACATTAAGAAAAAGGGTATCACTGAAATACCTGAATTAAAAATATATATTTTTAATGGCCACAAATATGTCGTAGGCCATGAAGATCAGCACAGTCAATGCTGAACTCCATGGAGTAAATATGTAGACAATAGACAAACTTCGTCTGGCGGCCCACCCACTTTACACACTGCACAGCAGCCACTGCAATTGCCGCACGGTGAAATTCGTTGGATTTTTCGCTTTGTGGAGTCCAGCCAGGAAATTGGTCTTGATCTACAACTTGGGGGATGCTTGGCAGTAAAATAGACCAATTAACATTAAACCCAGTGAAATATCAAAACAATGTGAATGCAGATTCACACAAAACATATTAAATTTTGAGCAACAACTTTATTCATCTTTGTAGAAATAAGGATTTACAAAAAGCTAAGGTGCAAATTGCGCTAGATGTCTGCCTCATTAACTTAGTCGTCAGTAAAATTCTATGTACAGACAAAACATAAATACACACACACAACATGCAAGGAAAGGGACCAAAGTCAATCAGCCGGTGGCACAGGAGATGCCACCAGTGTAAACTGTTAGCTATCTGCGACGCTTTCAAATTCTCTCGCAAGCATGTTTCTTTGGCTTTTACTGGTCCTAGAGCTGTGCCTTACCACTTTTGTCAGGAACGTTCAGTCACCCCTCCCAAATTCCAAGTTCTCCTGACTGGCCTGAAACTGCAACAGCAAGTTATTCACACGAATCATTCAGCCTAAGGAACTGTTTAAGCTGAACTCCACACATACTCTCATTTACAATATTTCGCACGCAGGACGCCAAGCTATAGAAACGTGAAAGCTCTCCAAGGAGAGGCACACTCACAGAATCGGAGAGGGCTAAACAGAGTGCACCAGACCAAGAGCTGAATACCCAATAGTCTGGATCAATATACTTTAAGCCATTGGGCTGAATATTGTGTACTTACCCCGGATGCAACAATCCACCAATGATAACAAGGATAGGAAATTTTTGTTATATTAGTAACGAATGGGGCAGGGTAGTACATGGCATGACATTACGGAAATTAAAACAAAACACCGCAACCATCAACTCCAAATATATTTTGAAAGCTAGAGATTATGGGGACGCTTAGAATCAGGTACGCACTGGCACTTTTCCCACCACTTTGGGTCTATGTGCTAAATCAGGGGTTCCATGAACTACAGTGGAACCTTGTTGATACGTTCCTGGTTTTTGCGTTTTCTCAACTTTAACGTTTAGAAGTGTCGGCCCCACCGAGCTCCCATAGGAACCTGTGCATTAATTTCCCACTAATGCGTTAGCTTCCCCAGTTTACATCCAAAAAGCCACCGACATGACGCCGACCGATTCACATGACGGACCGATTGGCGGACGGATTGATCACGTGACGACACGTTTGCGGATCGTTCGCCTCCCCAGTGCATTCACACAGAGGAGGAGACGAGGGACAGCGATGACCGACCAAACCACTTAACGACTGCACAGTGGCAGCGTTGTCCAGTGCGACGCTTGTCGCTATGGTCGCAACGCTACCACATTAAAGGCCGACGACCAGACTTAAGATTCTGCAAGGCAGAAGATCCTCCTTACCATGGGAGAGAAGGAAACAGGCAACGGTGGGCAGGGTAAAAGGAGGGAGAGGAGAAAACGAGGGAAAGTGGAAAGAGCGAACTGGTCGTCGGTCTTTAATACAAAAAAGAAGCGTTGTATGCTGTTGTTACGTACCACGCGAGACAGAACACCGCGAGAGGCTTAGTGCGAAGCACCACTACCTTTACCGACCCAAGACATAACACAAGTGTGGTCCTGCTCGAGGAGGGTCGGGATAGAAGCGACAGAGTCCCGGGTTTGTGAAGCGGCGTTTGTCTATGTCCTCATTTCCACGCACAACCCTTCAATACACCACAGGTGCAAAAAGGTCTTGCCCAACCTCGTTTGGTCTTTGTCTTGCCGGATGAGGAGCTGGATGGATGTGCAGGACAGAGTGCGGCGTGCTAGACGAGTTTTGACGGAAGGTTCTTGACACGGACCTGGAGGAGTACCGGAACCTGCAGTGCGTCAGCTGGGAACAATTCCTGCAGCTTACTTCACGTGCGGAACCAAGAATCGTGCGACAAAACGAACCAGCAAACAAACAAAAGGAAACAATGTGCCATTTTAATTTTGCTTGTCAAGAAAAAAAAAGTGAGTTTGTGAAAAGCGCAAAATGAAAACGCCTAACTCCTTTTCACTTGCAGATTTTCTTAATTTCAAACGAAGATAGTGAATCATTGTGCTCTGTTCTGTTGTTCATTTACTAGTTTGTGTTGTTGCATTGTTCTTGGTTTCACACACACCACATGTGAGATAAGCTACAAGAACTTCACCTGGCTAACGCGCTGCAGGTTCTGGTACTCCTCCGGGTCTGTGCAAAGAAGCTTCTGTCAAAACTTGTCTAGCGCGCCGTGACCTCTTCTGCAAGTGTTCTACAGCATGTCATCGAGCAAGACCTCTTTGCGGCTTTGGTGTACTCAAGTGTTGTGCACGATTGCGCTGGGATGAACCAATGAGGACATCGGCAAACGCCCCTCCGCAAGCCCAGGACTCAGTCGTTAGCTCGCATTTCAGTCACCCAAAGCACCAGATGGAAATTACGAGCTTTTTCTGAACGTATTTGAGTTCACACTGCCAAATGCTTACAAACCTTTTCTAAACATATTTGAGATCACGCATACAAACTTTTACAGTATGTTTATTTAAGTTTACACCTGCGAATGTTTACAAACCTTTTTCTGAGCCAATTTGAGTTCACGCCTGCAAATGTTTATGTAAAATAAATTTTCTCATGACAGCTGCTATCTGTCTCACCTCTAGCACCACCTGAATGGTGTTCTCGTTCCTCTCCCGGATTGTAAGTTTTATTTTCCCAGTCCCCTGAAAAACATATCAACGAGGTTCAACTGTAGTGAAGACTGGTAAAACAAGCGAGCATTGTGCGACTAGAAGTCAGCAGCAGATAGACAAGAAACTGGAGCTCCCTTAGATGAATAAAGCCAAAGCTGCACACCACCACTTAACACTGAAACAATGACACCATAAACTCAGTGTAGTTTAAGTACAAAGTCAGCAAGTGGTTCAGGTTGAATTCACCAAGCAGTGCTAGACATTGCAGTGCTAGTGAAAGTGAAAACGGCTCGGGACGAACTTGAAGTCTTCTTTATAATACAAATGCTAATACCATCTCCTTGTTGCCCATGAATGGAAGGCTTATGGCTTCTTACTAGGTTTAAAGTTATTCAATGCTAATAGATTATTTCAATGAAACACCACCGGGCACTTAGAAGCTTGTTTCTACTTGCCAAATAAAAAATATAAAGAGCAATAGTCTGTTCTCACAAGTGCGGAAAGCAGATTCCTTTAAGGCAGGTGGGGCACACTGCACACAAGAACCTTGCATCTGCTTACGATTGAAAACCTAATTGGACGCTGGCTAGACACAACCGTCGGATAGACCTTAAATCAGTTACCTAAAAAAGTTGCCTCAGAGGAATTACGAGAATGCAACATGTAGTAGACTGCCTACATGCATGCTAGGTGGCCACCTCGCACAACTTGAGGACATGTCACAAGCACAACTTGAGGTCAAGATAAGTACTTTACTACCTCATTACCTCTTTATCATCATTTGGGAAACCATTAAAAATATAGGTTGCATTAGTTGCTACTTTAGCTAACCTCCAAGGATTACAGGAGCAAAAACGTGTCTCCATGAAATATGAGCTTATTCTTTGTAGCACATGAGCCAGTAGCTAACAAGTGCAGGGGGTAAATGCTTCCATCCTGTGTGTGCTGCACTGCTTGAAAAAGAATCAAGTTCGCTTGAAAGTTTCCCACAGCAAGCTATGATAATGAGACCCTACAAAAACGATCTGGACAGAGTTAATATCAGAGTGAATCAGCTGCTCTATACTCACAATGACATGAAATTTGTGCAGCGCTGGTTGAAATCCCCCAAAACCATTCAGCTTGCACACACAATGCATCTTGGACACAAGCAAACAAGAGGTGAACAAACCTACAAGTTTAAAATGGAACACTGTCTACGGCACATCATGGAGGGTCAAGAGCAAAAGAATTGCCTTGCAAGCAACAGATTTCATAAGGATATGTTACTGCCTAAGGAAAGTTTCTCATCCATTCACAGAGGCAAACAAGCAGGGCAAGAGAGCTCCAGCAAATGACAAGGCCAGTGGCTTTTGAAGTATTCGAGGCAAATAATATGACAGTCACTCTTCCATACAATTACTAATCACAATTGAGATGAGGGAGACATGAGACACATTGTTCAAGTCTCCTATATTGCGGACAACACTTGCACAACCGAGAAAACACCCAGACAAAAGTGCCCAGAGATGGCAAAATTGGAACACCAACATATCTGGGCATGAACACGAGAATTAGGTTGCTACCTCCAGCACCACTCCACTTGACGCAACGTGTCCTACAAGACCTTGTGCCAGGTACCTTAACCTGTGTCCCCCTCTCAACCGCCAGACTTAGTTTCACGTAGCATCAAAGCCGCCTGCTAAGACTACACTTCCAGCTGTCGCTGCTTTAGTTGAGCAGCCGATGCTGCCACAAACGACAGACAAGTACACCGGCATAGCTTCTAGAATGCATTACCAGGCAGTGCCAATGATGGTAGCTAGTGCCACTGGCTAGCAATTCACTGCTGGCAACGAGGCAGGAGTGTGGTCTTCGTCACAACACACACATACACACATGCACCCACAGAGATATACACAAGAAAACATCCACAGCAGCAGATGTCTACTAAGAGCGTTGAGAGGCCCACTAGGCATCGCAGTGCTGGTGCACAGTCGATGCCCGTGGAAGCACCAGTCTCTTTGTGGTCTGGGACGGCAAGTTTGGGTGTGTCACAGGCCATAGCAGATCACAACACATCGGGCTCCATCTCAGGATCCCAGGTGCTGCGGGTGTGACTGCCGCAGCCTCCTGTGAGCAACCTGGCTCAGTGGCATGCTGGACAGCTCCGAAGCAAGACGAAGGGAGAGGCTACGATAAGAAGGCCCGCCTTTCGCCCGGTCCAGGAATTTCCTGCAGCAGAAAGTTGACTTAGTTGAAGACTATCTGGCTAAGCCAAGTGCTGGAAGGTGCTGATAAGCTGCATCATTTCAGCTATGTACTGTGAAGTTGCTCATCTATCCATTAAAGGTGTGCAAATGTCTGGAACTTTGAATAATTTGCGAATAGTGCCTGCTATTCGATTCAATTTGCAGCACACTTTTACTCTTCTAAGCAGTCAAGTTTTTCGAATATTAGAAAATTTCGAATACTGTAAACTAGGGGTTCTCGAACTGGGTTCCACATAACACAGGGCTTCCGCAAGCTGGCTTCATGGGCTACGCGAGCACCCAAATTGCAGTGCCCCCCCCTTACTTTAACTTTCCACGGACTGAGATTGAGTTGGTGTTGCGGAAAAAGCAACCGCACCCTTCGCACTAATATGTATAGTATATATATATATATATATTTTACAATAAGCCCCAGGTTAACCCCTCTGCCTTCTTATTCTGTCTGTAGTCCTCCATTTTGTCTTATTCTGTCAGTGCAATAAACTCTTCTTTACTATCTAAACACCTGTATTGCCCAGTATTATTGGTTGGCAACAAGGCAGGGAGGGGGGGAGGGAGGTTCCTTGGGAATTTTTGAGGCTTGCTGGGGTTCCCTGGGACAAAAAAGTTTTGGAACCCCAGCTGTAAACGACTTTATTTTCACAGGCACAATGTCTCATGAATTTGGTGAAGTGTGGCTTTCAGGGATATTTCTCAGGCACCAAATTTGGAGAATGATGGTGGTATCTTATGTATTTGTTATCACAGGGTATCATATTTGGAGGATCTATTTTTTGCAATATTATTGGAGTCGTGAAAGTAGATCCTCGCGAATATTAAGTCGTTTATAGTAATGTCTTCATAATGCTCTGATTTCCCATGTCAAGCTTTAATGCTTTGCACCGGCATGCCAGGAGAAACAGCCGACATGCAAGTGTAGTATCTCGGTTGGCAACCATGTTACATTGTCTTGGGGCCTTTTCTTTCTAAACACAAGTATGTGAAACACTTTTCATATAATAAAAGCTGCTCCTTTTCATGGGTATGCTTTGTAGAAAAATTTTCAGCCAAGACTTAAAATTTGCACACCGCTACTATTCAACAATAAAGGATAGGAAAAAATAGTGATAGTATTTCATGTCAAGCTTTAATGCTTCGCACCAGCATGCCAGGAGAAACAGCCGACATGCAAGTGTAGTATCTCGGTTGGCAACCATGTTACATTGTCTTGGGGCCTTTTCTTTCTAAACGCAAGCATGTGAAACACTTTTCATATAATAAAAGCTGCTCCTTTTCATGGGTATGCTTTGTAGAAAAATTTTCAGCCAAGACTTATTAAGAATACACGCTCAATTCACATTAAATGTAAAAAGTTCATATTTGAATCATAACTAAAAATTTAAAATTTGCACACCACTACTATCCAACAATAAAGGATAGGACAAAATAGTGATAGTATTTTAGTGATACTAGGTGTTTCACAGGACGGAGCTCTTTGCATTTTATTTTCTTTCATTTGTTAGCTTCTTTCGTAGCAATGCATAAATACATTAAACCTAGAACTGAGGTTGCCCATGCACTTCAGTTGCCAGAAATGGTGGGGCATAGAGGCCGCCAATAGTCCCACATTGCTGGTGGCACTTGCACAAATAGGAAGAATTCTTTGAATGTCACTTGCAAGGCTATTACTGGGCCTTTAGCAACTTTACTTTCATAAAGCACACACAAAAAATGAAAGATGTTTACAAATTTTTGTAATGCGAAATTAGAGCGCAGCTCTCAAGGAGGAGAGGGAGGGAGAAGGGGGAAGGAGGGACGTTTTCCATAACGGAACGCGTGACGTGAGGTCACGTGGCCCTCGTGAGGTCACGTGCACCTTGTGAGGTCACGTGACCTTCGTGAGGTCATGTGAGCCTCGTGAGGTCACGAGTCCCGCGCGTTGCATTATGGGACATTTCCCATAATGCACTGCACAATTACGCCGACGTTCGACGCCGCTCAAGCCGGAAACGGGCGCCTAAGAGCTGCGCTCTAAAAAATGCAAATTAGGCTTTAGATATTCAGAGAGGCTGAGGTTGGCCTGCCATAGTAAGGCAACGCCGATTTATGCTCTATAAATGAGAAATTTAGCCAGTGCAGTACGACTGCTAGCTTGGAGCCTTTACCGTGCATTACAGTAGTGATGCGTTAAAGGCTCGTTCACACACTTGTAACTGAGTACGACCGAGATAAACAAGACCGGTTTTTAAGCCTCTTGCGACGTCTTAGGACCGGGTGCGCTGCTATGGAGCTGGTACTAAGACGTCGCAAGAGGCTTAAAAACCGGTCTTGTCTCTCTCGGTCGTTCTCGGTTGCAAGTGTGTGAACGAGCCTTAAGGCCCATTCACACACTTGCAACCGAGTAGAACCGACTGAGACAAGACCGGTTTTGAAGCCTCTTGCGACTGCTTGGGACCGGATGCGCTGCAGCGGAACTGGTCCCAAGCCATTGAAAGAGGCTTAAAAACCGGTCTTGTCTCAGTTAGTCCTACTTGGTTGCAAGTGTGTGAGCGGGCCTTCAACTGCACGCTGACACATTGCTCATCCATATCGAAATGGGCAAGAGTGGGGATTGAGCTTGGAATCCCAGGGTTCTGTACCGTGGCTCTCGCTCCACATAGCTACAGCAAAGTATAAAAGCAGTTCAATGTATCACACAAAATCAAACTGCCCGACTATTCTCTCTGTCTTCATTCTATATCACCTCAAAACACCACCTTTAAAAAATAAAATAAGACATCCTCTCGCATTCAAATAATTATGCATTTTCCACAGATGTCTTTTGATTTTCTGCAAAGCAGATAGTGATTGCATTTCAATTCAAGATAAAATTAGGCTTTGTCCATTACAACATACTGCAAAAAGGTGGACTATTCTTTCCTAGGCTGACACACTAACTAACAAGTGTTCATACCCAATGCTGCGAGTCAACCTAGGTACCTTGAACCGAAGAAATGATTTTAGAGCACCAGATGCAACTTTGTTGTACCCTTTCTGGTCATATCAACAAGCACGGTAGTTTCCTCCAAAGCACGAATCCAAACCTGGAAGTTAATCCAAGCCCCCTATGGCACTTTATTGTGTTCATTCACAAAACTTACTTCCTGGCCATCTTAAGCAGCTCCTCCTTCCTGCGTGACAGCATGCGCTCTCGCTCACTGGGAGACTTGGAGAAGCGACCACCCACTTGGGGACCCATGCTACTGTCCCTGCGGAGGAAAATAATTGCAGTTACTCAAATTGCAGATCTTTGCAACATTTGCACAGGTACTCCTCACTTCTGCATTGCATGCATCACAACAAATGCTATAGGGGTCCAACAGGTAGCCACCTTCATTAGTATGTTGTTTGGAACCGAACACCACAGACGACAAATGAGTCGACGATAAACCACAGCCAGAAACAGAGTGTCAGTGGTGGCACAGAAGAGCAGCAAGTTCTGTGCATTCATAGTCAATGACAAGCAGTCTGAGTGAAAGGCAACTTTAGAAATGCTAACTACTGCATGTGTAAGTGCATATTTAGTGATTAGATTGAAAACCACTTGGCAGAGTACAAAGACACAATGGAAAGGTTGCTTGTAATTTTGAATGAGTCAGATACAACAGTTCAATAGATTACTACATATGTCATTTCATGCTCTTGCAGAGTTTATTATTTCGAAACGGCTTTTACTTACAGGGCCACTGACAACTCCAACATCAATACTTTTCTTATTGCCTCAAATGCTCCAGAAAGTTGTGAAATAATTAAAAAAAGTTATAAGGAAAAAAATGTTCTAGTGAGCAGAAGAGCCCGTCAAAAATCTATGTCCTCTCCCCCCAAGTCGGGCTCCTCCACGCTTCATTTTATTGCGGCAACATAGATGGCAAAGGCATTTTCGAGGAATTTAGAGATGTGGTTAGATGCATGTGTGTAACAATTATTATTGACATTCAGCAAATACATTTTTCACAACAACTGCAAACATGCTATGCCGTCGACTTTGAAATACAGTCAAACGCCTTCATAACAATGTCTGCGGGACCGCCGAATTTTTCTTAGTACAGGTAACTTCGTTGTCGTAGTTGAGTGTTAAAAGTTGATCATGCGAAACCGAATATTGGCGCACCTGCGAGACATTGGAAGTGTTTTGGAAAAATGTACAGCACGAAATGCATTATGAGCGACATCAGAAACAAGGTTTTGTACATTGACAATTGACTTATCAAAAGGGGAAATGGAAGCTGAGTCTGCTAGCGCATCGCAGCTCTGAGCACGTGGGGCGAAAGCTTGCACTGCAGAATCCAGGCATCTTAAGCTCGATTACAACTTTTTCTTTATTCTTAATGAAAATTGCAACAGCATGCGTTCGTGTACGCACCACTGTATCACACAATTTAAAGACACCAGGCTATACTCCGTTTCACGATAACTTGGCTAACTGTGGAGGCTACGGCCCCTGCAACCCATTAAGAGCGCTGGGCAAGACACACGATAACACTCCATGGTCGAGGCTACAGGGGACTCATTACCGCCACAGCAGCAGTGCGTCCGCGACAAAAAGTAGCTCTAGGCTTATTTTAGGGGCAAAGCTCCTTAGGGTCTAACCTTGTCCGTCCGGCGTCCGTGCTCACATCGATTGCACTGCCTCCGGGATTGGCCCACTTTTAAACAAAAAAACGTACGCCCGCACGGGGGTTCGAACTCGGGATTGCTTGCTTACAAGGCAGATGTCTTAACCACTACGCTACACTCCAACGTTGCATGCAGCCGCTCAACGGAAATACAGGAGAGGGCGCTGCGGTCAAATGCATATATAATCGTGTTAAACTTCGCATGCATTGGCTCAACGTTTATTTTTATTTTATTTACTTATTGATACTACTGTCTCCTATTTCAGGAGACATGGTAGGAGTGGTTTACAACATATGGTACAAAAAAACAATAATAAAAAAACAGCAGGTAACAAGCACAAGGATATTCGTTCTAGCTGATTAAAAAACACACCAAGAGTTAAACATGTAACAAAAACCAAAAAAAAAAAAAAAGCATTATACAAAGACTATCTTCATCGCAAAAAATTAATAAAGGAGCATCAAATAAAAGAATCACAAAAATCGCGGAGTTTATTAAAGAAGGATGACTCTGGTGATGCTGTTATTATATCACTTGGCAAAGAGTTCCAGTCGTGAACAGTCCTTATAGACGAGAGGGCGCTGTGGTCAAATGCTCAACTGCGTATATAACTATGATCCATACCACACATTCTCTTTCTGACATGGACCGTTGACTTAAGCGGTGGAGATGCGTTTCCACGGCTTCTAGCGGATCCAAGCTGATCCGCTAGAGGAATTACTGGATCTGCATTTCACCGACCATAAAGCAGTAATAATGAAGTCGTAACGCAACCCGGAACTCAACACTACCTATGAGCAATAAAAAAAAAAATCAGCACCATCAGCACTACCTATGAACAATAAAATCAGTATCATCAGCACCACCAGAGGTTTGCCCCAATCAACATCATTCACCACGTGGAGATGCGACCTCTTTTTCTTTTAACGACAATTGAACTCGCGCGATTCCATTTCTAATGAGAAGATATGAAGAATAAAAAATAAACAATAAATATTTATGAATTTCAATTATATATAAACAAAAATAGCAACGCCATATCCGTAACCGCTGTTGATTTTTTTCTCCTTGTAGCGCCGTGGCTGTTGGTGATCGCAGCCGTGAAATTGGCCGTTTCCGCTCAAAACACTGCACTGTGCCCTGGCATTAGCACCAGTCACAGATTCGCAGTTAAATTGGGCGTATGGTTGTCTCATGAACTGTTCCCGAAGTGCTCTCTATTCTAGTGGACGGAAATGTTGCAGCGGTGGACGTTCAACCAAAGCTGGTTGGTTTCGGAGCAGACATTGGCTAGCAGACGACAGCTGGTTCCTCCGAGCCTCGCATTTGGCGTAGTGACACAAATGGTCCCCTGACATCAGGTCATGTGCCTCGCTCCAATGCTCTTACTGGCTAGCGGGGGCCTTAGCCTCCACAGTTCGCCAAGTTATTGTGAAACGGAGTACAGCGGTTGTACTGCCAGTACTGTCACTGGCAAAGTTTGTCACAGCCGAGACACCAGGTGCTCCTTGCTGCAGACTAATTTTCCGCTGTCCAAACTTCCACACAACAAACTTAACGAAATAAGAATAGAAACAATCACTAAACCACCGACATCGACACCCATCACGCAGCGCATGATGGGTGTCGATGTCGACACCCATCATGTTCACCGACTGCATTGCTCTCGTAGGAGTGGGCGTGGCAGCACTACCTAGCAGCACAGAAGAATCGGTCTTGCTTTCGGCATGCCGCAGCTGCAGCGAGCGGCACAGCGAGGAGCAAGGATGGGGAGAGGCGCACAGCTGGGCCCTTTTTCACATCTGTTCAGCACAAAGAGGGTTTTCTGTGTGGCTCTACCAATTTCGCTTAGATTTCGGCATCACAGGTAGTCACAGATCACGTTTCCTCGACCGCATGTTATCACTCCAAGGCGGAACAATTTGGGACTCGGATCAAGTAAGGGTGGGAATCTTGGATCCTGACGAAGATCGGCGCGTCAGTCAAACAAATGCCAAGGCAGCATAAAAAAGTTGTGACTGCCCATGAAAATACCTTTGTGTTTATACAGATATTCTTGTTCGCGTGAATCCTTTCAAATGTGCCAACGCATATGAAAAATAAGAAAGCGATTGCGCACATTGCCAAAATGAATCCTTAAAAAAATTGACCGCATCTCCACGTGGTGAATGATGTTGATTGGGGCGAAGCTCTGGTGGTGCTTGTCTGCATAGACGCCGAGCCGTACCATGCCAAGCCTCTCGTTCGTTTTCATCCATGTCAGAAAGAGAATGTGTGGTATGGAACGTGGTTATATGCGCATTTGAGCATTTGACCGCAGTGCCCTCTTGTCTATGAACGTTGAGCCAATGCTTGCAAAGTTTAACGCGATTATATACGCATTTGACCGCAGCGCCCTCTCCTGTATAGACGTTGAGCGGCTACATGCAACGTTTCATCCATGAGATCCCCAGCTTTTGAGTTACTACCACATCTCAGAGCCTCCTACTCGTCCCGCAGTCGTGGCCGAGTAATTAAGGCGATGGACTAGAAATCCATTGGGGACTCACCTCACAGGTTCAAATCCTGTTGACTGTGCAAACATTTTTTTTTTTTTTTCATCATTTCTTTTTATTTAATTTTTTGCCCTACACGAGCACGTGAGCTCACGAGCACGAGCACCAGCAAGATCGATGTGAGCACGGACGCCAGACGGACAAGGCTAGACCCTAAAGAGCTTCGCCCCTAAAAACAAAATAAAAAAAACTCATCTGGGAGCCGAGTCGCACGTACTGAATCAAGACGTGAGCAAAATGAAAGCAAACAAAAGTATGCACGAGCGTGCGTGGCGGAGGTGGCACCGCATTTGCCACGCCGCTTCTGTTGCTCCCGCGTAGCGTGTTGTTGGCTTTGGCTCTAAATAATTTATTAGTGCGCAACCTTGTGTCTAGATGGCGCTACGTGACTATGTTGCTGCATACAGGCTTTCTATGCAGCAATGAAGTCACGTAGCGCCAAATAGATGCAAGATTGCACACTAAAATTATTTGGACCCGAGAATGTGCCGCGCGGCGGGGCAAGGGGCAAGGTGGGGGCTGCATGGCGGCCGTGTCAACTGTTGCCGCTACGTCATTATTTCTGTTCTCTACGCACGTCGCTTGAAAGCAACAACTAACGTAAAATCAATTACTTTTAACCTAGGAAATTCTTAATACCGGTCATATTTGCTTTATGGGGCCGCACAACTGCTCCACTAAACTGTTTTTGTTAAACACGAATTTGCTGTGGTAGTCAGAAAAACCCACTGAACAGATAGGAGATTAGCCGAGACTTTATTTTATTTCATTAAACGGGTGTTTTCGTAGTAGAGGCGTTCATTATGAAGGCGTTTGACTGTATAAAAACTCTGAGTGTTAGTGACAAAGCATCGGCCATCTCCTGGTCTTTTCTTCCTTTTCTGAATATGACGGCACCTGGTAGCTGTGCTGAGGGTGCTAAAAGGAATAGAAAATTAACAAAAATAATTTTTTTTTTTTTTTTTTTGGTGTTGGATAATTTTTTTTTTTTACTTTGAGAGAGCAATTGTTGAGGAATCAAGAAGTTTAGATCATCCCTCACATCACTCATCAAAGTCTGCGACACATTGTTTTCCTTTTTTGTCTTAAGTGTTTTAGACTAACTAAGCAGAATGCTGCTCAAAAAAGAAACTCAAACTGAAAAGTGATGCATCCTCTGCATGCGGAGAAAACACGCATGGCAGGCGCAAAGCAAAATGTGTGCCACTGGCCAGTTGGTAGGCACGCGTGCCCATGATTGCCCTGACTGACGAGAAGAAAAAAAGGAAGTTTGAAGTCATCCAAAAAGGCAAGGAGTGCACCACTTTGCCATCTACATCAGTGATGCAAGTGGGAATTTCAAAACCGACCTTGAAATTATTTTTTCTCTCTGCAAATATTATGCTGTTTCTAGCTGAAAATACTTAGGACGATGCCCAAGGATAATTTCCAGTCATTTAGAACCACAAAGAATATATAACAGAGAGGTTGTCAGTGGCCCCTTTTTAAAGTACCATCACCAGAGAATACTAATAAGCAATGACAAAAAAATCATAGGTAACAAAAGATGGGGCACTTACCAAAGTGAGAATTACACTCACATATGGTGACAAAACAGGGAACTGTTTTACTGACTACACGCTTATTGCCATGTCTGCGCAACATGTGTGACAGCACTTAAAAATGGGAAAATTATTATTTGTTGTTGAGTATGCACTAATATTTCTATATAGGAAGGAATTACAGGCTTGATGTAATTTCAAATTAAGAAGCTAGAAACAGAAAGCAGTACCTGTCGCGTATGCCAGCTATAACACAAAGAGACAAAGTAAACAAATCGGAAGGTCAGCCGAATTAAATGGCTCATCCAGGGGATGCAAATGGCCCGAGTGATGATCGGCCACAAAAGGGCGAACTATGTAGCCCTGGGGAAGGTTGATTCAATCGCTCTCCCTGCACATCCCATATTTTCTCTTCGTATAAATCAATTCTGGAAAGGAATTGCGGTTTCTAGCGGATCCAGGTGCTGGAAATTGAGAACATGGCTTGTTGTTCACCATTGGTTGGCTGCCATGCCAGCGAGTTAGACAGATGTGCTTACGAACACTCTTCTCATTTTGGCACTTCAGTGAAAGCAGCGAAATAGATGGACCAATCCAATCTAGGCTTTAGTGTCACAGAATTGTGCACACTGAGCATGAAGCTCAACATGTCAGTGGAGAGATCAGTTATCTGGTGCACAAAAAGTCATCTGTTTCAGTATGAGATGTTCCTATAAATATAAAATTTTCTAGACATGCGAAATTGGGTTGAATTACTCCGAATGTCAAATTAAAAGATGCGTGCAAAATTCTGAATATCCAGGTCTTTAGATCAGGTAGGCTAACATTTTTATAATAAGTTGCCGCACACGACAGTGGCAGTGGTCGTGGATGTCTTTCGCCCGTTTGGTGCGCGGCGGCAACGGTGACCGGCAGCCGGCGCCATTGCAACACTGCTGCTCCACAGCAGTGTTGAGACCCGGCCATGTCCAGTGTCTTAACATATGCATATGCTCTTTTTTTTCTCTCCACAATTCGGTGCGGGCTTCAAAATTTGAAAAAGGATTTTTCGCCGACAGGCGCAGCTGATTGCGCTCGTTAGTTGCCCATCACGTAATTCGGAAAAAACAGGCCCATTTTTGTGCATCGCACGGCCAATCGTACCTGTAATTTGCTCACCGCCGGTTCTCTCTAGGTCGAATTAACCAATATTTTATATTTCAAAATCGAAATAAGTTTTTTTTCTTTTTCATAGAAATGTATGGGCTTTTGCCGGGACCATTGAACAGAGTCGAATTAAACGATGAGTCGAATTAACCGAGGTCGAAATAATGCAAGTCGACTGTATAAGCAAGCAGGGTAAAAACTCGCAATTTGTACCAAAGCTTTGCAAATGTGTCGAAGCCACTGGAGTACAGTGACCAACAGTTTAACCTGGGGGCCTTTGTTTTATCCAGGTGGAAGGGAGATTTATCTGACATTCCAGCCATGCCAAGGCCATTTTTGATGAGGTGTTCATTTGTAGTGTCCAGTATGGGCAATGCAGGAGAAAGGACCTTTCAATGGTTGCAGTCTGCTGGTGACATTAAATATAATTTTGGAGAAAAGTCCAATCAGAAACATATGACAGCGCCTGGTTTCCTCAGCTTGCTGCAAAAATACTATCTAATTTAGTGTCTTTTTCACTTCTATTTGTTTAGTTTATATTTTTAAACAGAAAATCAGTTCCTTATTACGAGGTTTTTCACTAACTCAGGCTCTTGTGCAGATCCTAAGGTATTATGTTGTTTCTTGGTAGCTTAAAAAGACTACCATCACCATAACGGTTCCAAATATACCTAGTAAAAAAAACTTTCAATATTGTTGTAACAGTAACTTCCAGCCACTTTTTGCAGACTGACCATATTCAACATAGGATTAATTATTTAAGTTAGTCAGTAAGCGTAATTGTAGTGTCAGTTTGACAAAAATCCAGAAGTCTAAAACGAAAATGGCAACAAAGGCATCTGCAATGAGAAAAGGCATATGTAAGCGCATGAGGAAACCACCTGCCAGTTTTCACACGATTCCTAAAAGGTGGTATTCTGGTGGATGTGGTATCTCTGTTGAGGTGTCCCTATGAATCTGGTTATGACCTGCATCTTCCGCTGTTCCTTCTTTTCCATTAGCACTGTCCAACTACGGGAAATACTACAAATACTACAAATTTTTTGAAACAAGCCAATGAAACTTACCTACAAACATTCAAAATTGAAGCACTTGAAAACTTGCAAAGAACTCATTTATAAAAAAGTGCAAGGGGCAAATCAACGTGGTACAGTACTCTTGAAATAATGTAGCAAGATTAGTAACAACTATTTTCAATATATACAGCATTAATGAAAACCTTCAAAATTTCTACTTGAAGCAGCTTGTTTGCTACAATCAAAGGAGACAGAACCTTACCCTGAGGCAATAGCCTCCTCTGCTGCAAAGGGTGGCTCTGCATCTTCAAGGAGCATGGAGGAACTAGAGTCTATTGTAGTACTGGCAGAGGGAGTTCTTGGGAACCTTTCATCTGCCAGTGCTTCTTTCCGGGTGTCCAGCCCATGGTTCTGCATATTCAAGAGGTTCAGAACCAAACAGTCATTCAGCACAGTGCTTCAGAAACATCCAAAGCAACAACAATATTCCTATATGCTCAAATATGCTGGTGCCTTTTGACCTCATCTGTACTCTACACTGAAGCCAGTTCCCAAAACAGGTGACAGTTTCTGCACAAAGCTATTCTTACCTGAGAACCACTGTCATAAACTCTGTCCAGGCTGCTCTGAGGCACAGTGGTTTGGTAGAGAGATGTCTGCAGCAAGAACCAAAATAGTCCCATCACATTAAAGAAGGGATGCATTGCAATTTGTGTCACCTAACCTACCCAAGAATTGAGTATGCAAGTGTAAACTATAGTAAAACCTTGATAAAAAAATAACTTGGAAAAACAAAATGAAATGATGGCCCACAATATGCGCACAGTATGCCATCATGCAGTTCTTGGAGGACAACAGAGTGATTTGTACAGGATGGTCTCGAGTCATGGTTGTTTAAACAGACAAAGCTATTTCTCTAACCTTTATTTTAATTTTTTTTTTTTCAAACGTGAATTGTAAGTTCATTTCTGCATTTCCTGTTTCTATAAAGCAATGCCGAAAGCAACTGAAAAAAATATTTTTACAAACTGATGAAAACAACAATTTTTTTTTTCTTGTGCCAATTAGTCAGTGCTTTAAAAGATTATGTAGACCTTTCTTTCCCTCTTTTGATGATGGAGAAAGTTCTCAACGATTTAAATCTTTGACAAATCTGACACACTAACCGCCGAATTCAGAAACCTCACTCAAACTACACTCAAACTGAAGGGCCCCTCCACTTCCTCGAGTAAGGCGCGAGGGCCAGCGCTGGCCAATCGCGAGGACGGATCCGCCGTTGCAATTGGCCAGCGCCGGCCCTTGAGCCTTCCTCGAAGAAGTGGAGGGGCCCTTCAGTTTGAGTGTAGTTTGAGTGAGGTTTCTGAATTCGGCAGTAAGACTTGTATTTCCTGCTTGGGGATTACATGCTCAGTCTTGGCTTAGAAAATATCAGATGTTCAGTTTTGTTGGAAATCTTGAGAAAAGATGTTCCCTGTTGACATGTTAGAAACAAGCATGACAGTTCAAATGAGCAAACAATAAACAATGCTTTCTTAATGAAGAATATGTTATAAAATGTCATTTTGGTCATTTGAGTGTTATGTTACAAAAAAGCATTAAACGCTAAATTTAGCAGGAAAGTATCATATACTTCTCAATCTGTATATAATGTGTGGAAGTGTATGTATGAACCTAATACAAAACAAACAAACAAACATACAGACATATACAGGGTGTTCCACGTAACTCGAGCCAAAGTTTAAAATATTTTGGTGCATTTTAGGAAGACGAAAGCAAAGGAATAAGTTTGTTCATTGTTTGGAACAAGTTGGGCAATTTTTTTTGTACTTTTGCCCAGTGCAATAATTAAGATTAATTAATAAACTTTTGAAATATTATATCTAGAGCAAAAGTTCCAAAGATGAAGTTTCACAGCATCCTCAGAAACAATCAATTCCGTGGTTTTTATCAAGAAGCATCTAACACGGTTACCATGTTGCAACTTAACCCGAGACTGGGGTATGAGAATAGAAACTTAAACATAGAAGGGAGAGAAACAGGGAAGAACAACAGACGTCTCTAACGCAGCTAAAAGATTTATTCAGTCCCACCTCCTTATATACACACAGCCACAAGGTCACCAACCACACAACTTGCCCTTTGCTAGGATACACCAAGACACAGAATACACCAAGACACACAAAGGAACTACCAGAATAAGACAAAGGGATGCCCCCTCACCAAACAAAAACGGCAGCAGCCAGGACAAATCTTCCAAACTTAAAAGAAAACACTCCACTTTTATAAAAAAAAAAGTTTATGTTTTGTGGAACATCTGACACTACACCCGCAAACAACATTGACCCAAACATGAATACAAAAACACTCACCTTCTACATTTAAGTTTCTATTTTCATACCCCAGTCTCCGGTTAAGTTGCAACACGGTAACCGTGTTAGATGCTTCTTAATAAAAAAAAAAACTGAATTGAATGTTTCTGAGGATGCTGTACAACTTTATCTTTGGAACTTTTGCTCTAGATAGAATACTTCAAAAGTTTATTAATTAATCTTAATTATTTTACTGGGCAAAAGTACAAACAAACATCCACCAGCTCGCCTGTACATTAACTGTTTTTTCTGACTTCTAAAAAAGCCCGCGAATAACGAAAAGAAACGCTACTTTGTGGTCACGGGACAATCAAGATAGGATTGGTACACAGCACACAGATCATCCTGTAGGTAATTAGTAAATATCGGTAATGCATCGGGATAGTAAATGCCTACCAGTATTGTCTTGAAGGGACACTGACACAACCCCAAATATTACACGAGTACACTTAAAGGGGCACTCAAGTGTTCAAATGGTATGTAATATGTAAACCCACACCTGCTATGGCTCGCGCATGCGTGCCGCAGTATCCTTTAAATAAAGTGGATTCTCAGATAGTCTTTTTATTGTTATAATTCAATCTACAAGCTCTAAGCACCTTGAAAAACCCGAAATCACGTACAAGAGCGGCCGATTTCCCTACTAAAAATCCAATCAAAGATTGTGCCGTGCCCCGCTTTCTGCGCCGTGGTGCACAACACCAGGGGGCACCACTGGAAGGGAAGGCAGCAGGGGAGGGCACGCGACAGCTTAACTAGAAGTCACAGATTCCCAGCAGGCCGATTTTTCAAAGGCGCGAGTATCAGAAAATTTAGTTCGCCGGGAAGCCGTCATTCGTGACTAGCTGTCGCGTGCCCTGCCCTGCTGCTTTCCTGTCGGGTGGCACCCCCTGGTGCTCTGCGCCACGGTGCAAAAAGGGGGGCGTGGCACGTCTTTGATTGTGTTTTTAATAGGGAAATCGGCCACCCTTGAATGTAATTTCGGGGTTTTTTAGGACGCTTAGAGCCCATAAATTAAGTTATGACAATAAATAGATCATCTCAGAATCCACTTGAGTGCCCCTTTAAGACTGCTTACGTGTAGGAAGGCAAAAGCCAGTAAAGGATGTCGTCTAGGACGACGTCTAAGACAACCTCTAAAACGACGTTGAGAACGACGCCTAGAGGACAACATCTAGGACGGTCTCTAGGACGACGTCAAGAACAACATCTAGGACGACTTCTAGGACAACCTCGAGGACGACGTCTAGGACGACGTCGAGAACGACGCCTAGAGGAGTGGTGTATTTGCATGGGCGGCCACGTTTGCCTGCGGAAGCTGCCGTAGATCTACACGCTGCTGCCAATGTCAAGGCCGTAGATGTAGGCGCGGTCACCTCACAGTCCATCGCACGAAGCACACAAAAAGCAGAGATGAAGTCCTACGCGCACCTTTTGCACACGGCATTCTGGCACTGACATCACGCTGATGACGTATGACGACGCTCTATGACATTCTTTTATGGCCATCTTTCGGGCACAACAATGCCGCCGCCGCTTGTTTTTCATGTAATGTGACAAGTGAGGTCGTCCTAGAGGTCTAGGACGACGCCAACGTAATGGGACAAGCCCATTGAGTGGCGCGTGCCGCGCAATCACGTTTTTATGGCCATTTACTATGATTTTTTGCTCAATAAAACAAAACTCATACCTTAAAAAAAAAAGAAAAACATTTTTTTACCAGGCAATTTATTAGTGTCAAAGACTACCTACTAATCAATATTTTGCTGCAGAGTCATGTATATTTTTAATAAAACCAAAAAACTCACCTGCTCGAAAGCGAAACATAAGCAGGGAGGCTCATGGCTGCGATATGTGGACAATGTGTACTGAGGAGGAGGGAGAAATGTAGAGGAGAAGGGAGTTGCCGAAAGTCGTATGGCTACACCCAACTGATTTTTTTTCTTTCTTTCTCCTCTTCTCCGGCGTGTGAAGCAGACGACCATTTGTCGTAAAACTGTTTCGCACTGATATCCCTTCTACTCTATGTTATGCGCTTGAAGATCGATTGGCCAGTACCACAACCAACAGTTCCGAAGTAGCGGCCCCACGTCCGTTGCAACATTGGTACGTGGTGCGCCGCCATTGCGTCATCCAGCCCAGGCTATGTTGCCATATTTAGAATGACGTGATCATGTACTTCTTATCACCTGTGCAACATTTTTCTTCTATCAACATATTTGAAGCTTCCTGAAGGCCACAAAAATAGGGTTCAAATTCTTTTCTATTTTTAATATCAAATGTGTGCCTTAGATGACCCACGACTTTGACTATACTTGATAAAAGTAGTTTGAACGACACGTTGCCATGGAAACGAGTGAGCGCGACTGAAAATGGCCAATTCTCAGCTGGCTGTTTTCGGGCGGAAAGAAAACTAACTTTGAGGAGTAAATTGTGTTCTGTGTAGTTGGGCCCTTACAGGTCATGTTCATATAGTTCATATAAAAATCTTACAGAGCGTAAATACCCTGTCAGTGTCCCTTTAAAGGAACACTTTTAAGCACACCCATACTGATTCCAGTACATTTGATACTGAGATAAGTTGGATGGAAATATTTCTTGTGCAACAACAAAAACAGTGCCTTCTTTTTGTTTTTGCAGCAGCAGCGTCCCTAGTCAGCAGGCAGGCTTAATTCGGTCAAGCCTTGTTTGAGAGTGCAACAATACAAGGCACGCGAGCATGCAGTCACATGTCTTTTTCATAATTCATGGGCTTTATTCGAAGCCTGGAAAAACAAACTGTGTTAGAGGTTTCTTCATAAAAACCACTGAATTGGAGGCATCTGAGGATGCATGAAACTTCATCACTAGAACTTTTTACTTTAAATAGAATATTTAAAAAGTTTACTAATTAGTCTATTATTTCACTAAGCAAAATACCCCCCCCCCCCAAAAAAAAAAAAAAAAAGAAAAGCCAGATTTGGGCTTTAAACAATGAACAAACTTAAACTTATCCCTTTGGTTTCGTCTTCCTAAAATACACCAAAATATTTTTAAACCTTGGCTCAAGTTATGAGGAACACCCTGTATATAAGCTGAGTAAAAATGCATTCTGCATAGTTCTGATTTCATACAAAGGACTAAGGTGTTCACAATATTTTGTTTAGTCTTCCAACACTAATGCATTGTGGGGAGTGCACCAGTCTGTACTGGTCTCTAGAGGAAGACAAATGTGCAATGAAAAACAGCCATTTTTAATATAATAAAAATTGAAAGAATATCCTAATTTTTGTAAAGGGTAAGGCCCAAAACACATAAAATCAATTAAAATATATCCATAAAGGAGACATATACAAAGAATAAGAGCCAGATCAGTTGTGCTGGCCACAAAAAGAAAGAAAACCACATAAAGGTAAGCACTTTTCTGTATTCAAATTGAAATGTGTATATGCACATTACTTATTACCAACCACAATAGTTCTGCCATGTATTCTGTAATTCTCTAGAGATGTAGTGTATGAAGTTTTTCACCACTACCATGTCTTCATACAAAAGAATGCAGTATATATAAATAAAAATCGCAATTAATAGGATCAAACTTCATGCTCCCTAGATTCAATTTCCTATCTCAAACACAATATGAAAGTTTCAGTTGGTCAATAGTTTCTATGAACACGGCACAGCTCCATGCAAGCTCCACTACACACATTATGGACTCTTTTTCTACACTATCATCTGATGCACATTGGCCAACACAAGATTTCCAACATTTCCCCCAAGAGAAACCTGGCTGCCCATGAAGCTCATAGTACAGCCTATCTGTGATCACAAAGAGTAATAGTTTATACATGAAATTTCCAATGATCAACTTATAAAAATCAGTGGACAGACATGGTGCTCTACTGATATAAACCAATGAAACCCTCGAATAAAATGGGACGGGATGAGCATTTCTCACCGGAGGAGCCACCAGGCGCTCATCCAGAATGTTTTCAATGGTGAGCTCAACCGAGCGGGTGCTGCGCAGGTCTTCCATGATGGTGTTCAGGGGCATGTTGGGGAACATCTGCTGCACCTGCCGAGCCTGAAAGACCAGCAACATGTATGACCAAGCATCACTGCCACAATGTCAACTAGATGAACACTTCTCAGCGTAAAGGGAAACTGAAGTGGTTCTGTATTTGAGTAAAAACAGTTAAATCGTCTTCATTCGGCCTCCAGGATCACAAATGTCGAGATTATTTTTCAATTTGGTGGACGGAGACTGCAGAAAATAATCTTCAAAGTATCGCGTAAGCTCCTCTTTCCCGAAGCGTTATAGCAGGGGTTCTCAAACTTTTTGGCCTCACGGAACCTCAGGAAGCTTCAAAAACTGCCGCGGAACCCCCCCCCCCCCCATATTTGCCAACCGAGAAGCAACAGGTGCACAATTGTAGGCGATTTTTGCTTGTGTTGCTTCCCATATATCCCCACCATATCAATCGCAATGTCAGTACAAAGTGAGATGAAGGTGCTTTGCATGGTCCTGCTGCGCAGCCTGCGGCGGGGGGGGGGGGGGGGGGGGGGTTGCAATTTGGGTGTTCGCGGAATCCATGAGACCAGCTCGTGGAACCCCCTGTGTTCCCCGGAACCCAGTTTGGGAACCCCTGCGCTATATTATAAAAGGAGTTTTCGGAATCTCCGCTCTCGCGCATCTTCGGCGCCTATCAAAGCTATGCACGTGCACTCTTGCTATTTTCAAAAAGGTTAGAAAAGGACGTCACGACTGGTGTCAGTGTGGGGGAATATACCTGAAAAGCTTGCAATTGCTGCACACACGAGCAACACGTGCTTGGCGGTTGAAGATCCTTTTATGACGTAACGACTGGCTTGAGGTTTTTCGTATTTTCTCGCATTTAGTTACATCTTTGGGGAAAAGGAACGTGATATAAAGATTCATCGGATAAAAATACTCCAGAATTCACCTCTTTTTTTTTTTTAGAGAACCTCTTCAGCTTCTTTGTGTTAGCACTCTGAGCATTCAAATGTAGCTCACGTGAGAAACCAAACGATCGCAGATTGACTTTACCTGTACGAAGTCTTTCCAATGTGAAAGAACTTTGTATGAGCACGCTCTCATGTAATGATTGTGTAAAACACACTGACGTCTCTAGATTGAAGTTTCCCATGCATACCAGTGTGATGTCTACAAATATGCTATTAAAAAGCAATTCTGCTTCACTCTTGTTTTTGAAAAAAATAATGCAGTCCACTTCAGTATCACCTAGGAAGACCAGACGTCAAATATTACGACCTAGTTCTGTCTAAATGTTTCTTAGAACAGTCCGGCAAACTTTGCAATATGCCAAGTTGCAGAAATCGGCTGACTCTAGCGGGTGAATTGAGGCACTACTAACAGCCCAGTCAAGGCTATGGCGTTGGTGTAGCCAACATTGAGCTAAACGTCATCACCACTGCCCCTTTTTGTTTGTTTTTACTTCTCCGAGCAAGCGTAATGGGCGACGTCAGCAATGTTTCCTCTTGACGCTCAGCGGTCTCTATGTGATTGGCATGACACACCAGCGCAGCACGCTTCTTGTGAGCCGTTTGGCCGTCCCGCCATTACCACCATCTCTCGCGTCCCAACCGCCGTGGCAGTCTCACTGTTTGTGATTATTGTCTCACAGAGTTTCGTTCACATTACGTGTGCAAACTGATGCCGCGGTTCTGCAGACGTCGTCGAATGTCGTAGACACCAAAACGTGGTGAAGAGTGCGGTGCAGACGACAGTTGCGCGTTGCACACGACCGCCCCAATCCCGCCCGTGTTGCATAGAGGATTACGCGACATTTTGTGCCACGTGATAGCCATGTTTTTGGCGGCCCGAGGCCAATGTTGCCAGACGGAGCCGATGTTTCGGTTTCAATTTCTGCTCATGTTTAAAGTAAGATTTAAAAATATATATCCCATTTTTTGCTGAACAAATGATGCAGTGCCTTTTATTAGAACTTTTTAATGTGAGATCTCTAATTATCCCGAAATTTTCGGAACTGAGCAGAGTTGCCCTTTAAAATAATTACTGGCAGCATAGATTATGTTTGATATGAGGCCTTGTTTAATTGTAGAATATATCAAGTTACCAAAAAGATAGGGTGAAGTAACTATGGCAGAGAACTACAAAAGGCTGTTTTTAACTTGCCATGTTGTCAAGCTGTGATGTCTGCACAGGTGGGGGTGGCTGTCCTCCTAACAGGTTGGTGTGCGTCACTTCTACGGAAAAGCTTGGAAGCCAGCTCACATAGCGCGAACCTGCAAGAAAATTTATCTTTGTTTGAACTTGACAATGAAATTTTTAAAATTTTCTAGGAACAAGCACTGACTTCAAACAACCATTTGAAGGAACCACTCTATGCACACAACACACTGCCTTTCCCACTATCACAAATTCTGGAAGATAACACTCGACAATTAAGATAAGTGCTTTAAAGATATAAGATAGAGAGCATGGCACAGTTAGTACAAACTTAGCACAAACAAGCAATTGCCAGTTTTTCCCATTTTTCTTTTAGACTTGAAAGTTTCAAGGCACTGGACTAAGAGGTAAGGTTTGGAGCAATGCTCAGTTTCATCTTACAACAGATTGCAGCAGACGCCTTGAGCAATTGGAGCCAAGAAAACACCGTGCGGATATCACATGACCTTACGATGGTCCGCAGTATTAGCCGCGAGGTCTGGAAGCCGGGTGAAGACTTTATTGTGAGTGCATAAATTGGATTGGTAACGTATCACACTACAATTTACCACAGAGGTGCCTGAAGGTGGTGGAAGCATCGCAACACATTTCAAAGAACAAATTTACCCGAATAAAAAATAAAAAAAATGATGACTGGTTTTCTCAACCGTTCCTTTATTTTTGAAAATTTCTGACTCTCAACTGCTTCACATTGACGAGCTAGGCTTGTCCAGAATGGTTAAGGGGCGAACTATGACGTCCGTCTGCTAACCCCGCTCATCCTCTGACTGGGGCAACAACTGACAAATGGCGGCAGCAGCCCAGTTGGCTCAAAGGCTCTGTGGTGGCTTACAGCAGCTCAGCAGCCGCCGAAGCCGCTGCTGCCATCTACTCATTGTTGCGCCAGTCAGAGGGTGCATGGTCAGCAGACGGACACCGAGAGAGAAAAAAAAAGTTATTGTTTTTTTAATTTTTACTTTGGCTGTTTTTTTTGTTTTTTTAATTTTTATGCATCGCTTTCACCACCTTTGGGCACCTGTGGGAAATCTTAGCGCAATATGTTACAAAGACAATGTATGCGGTCACTGCTTCATTCGGCTTTGGGACCTCGCCGTACAATACCTTTTCAAAAGATAAAGAGAATGAATGCCGAAGTCATGTCTGCACTAAGTGTAACCTGAAGTGTACATTCTTCAACATAGTTTCCAGCTAAGCCAAACATTCATTCTTCACCCCAAAAGAATCCACCACTTTACTCTTCTTTGAGTGTCTGGCTTAGTTGACAAAACCAACTAGCCTAACAGATTATTCTGATTCACAATCCCCTTGAACTTTGTTCTACGAGTTTCACAGTACTCGCCACCCCTTTTTTCTGACAACAAAATAGAACCACTGATGAAATTTCATTAATAAATAAAGCACTAGAAATGAGCATTTTCCATATATATTTTCTAAAAACACCTTGCAAAGCAGGAAGATAATGCCTGTTTACACAAAAGCCACTTTTCTACTTGCCCAAATGCACCCATGTGTCCTCGCCCCAGAGTGGGGTCTGCCTGCAAAAGCGTAAAATGCGGCTAACACAATGTGTGTTATACAGTATAGACCACTCACAACGTAACCGCTTATAGTGCAGGACCGGGTATAACACGGCTTTTTTAAACCACTGGTTCGCCTCCCATAGAACTCCGTGTAATTACATACCGCTTAAAATGCAGGCGCGCGAAGGAAAATACCGGTTATAGTGCGGTTTTTGGAGCAGTGCGCCGACCGCCCCGACCGGCGCAGCGAGCACGCTTCCCTGTGTGACACCAGATAACGGCACTAGCCGCAAGCGGCACTCGCGGGGGCAAGGATGGCAAGGAGGTTGCTTGAAGAAGCGGGGAGAAGCGAAGAGAGAGGCTTCAGTTGCCATAGCGACGAAGGGACGCACGCACGTGTCGTTCACGTGCGTGCATCCCTCCGCTGTGTTGAAAACGTTGGAAACAACCGCAACAACAGACCAGTCGCAGGTCGAGGAGAAGTGTTCGCGCGCGTTGCATGCCGGTCGCGGGCCGGCCGGCTGCTTCTATATGCAAACATGGCGTCGGTTGTGATCGTCGACGTAGATGGCGTGGTAGAAGCTCATCATTCCGCGTAAAAGTGCTATTCTTGACTGTGAATTTTCGTTGCGTGTCGGTATGATAACCCAGCACGTACTAGAAGGGAAGATCCACCTACTCGTGCGGCGATGTTGTGGCGGCACACTCAAGACGGCAGAATTGCCCGTGTCGTCGTGTTTCTTTACTTCGACTACAGTGGTGCTTTCTAAGCATTTGTGTTTTCGAACATCGCCCGGATTTCTTATTTGGAGTATTTCATGCCTGTGCTCAAGTTGAAGGTATTACTGGCGCGTACCATATAAAGGATGCGAATTTTCACGCGTTTTCATCGCCGGAAAAAGTGATTAGGGTTAGCAATCCTGAACGCTTGCAACGTCCGTCCGCAACCCGCGACGCCGTTAAAAGGCTGTGCCAGGCAAAAGTCGCTCATTTCTTTCAAAATGTGTGACACACTTGAGAGAGAAGTGTACTAGTCTGGTGAAATAAAGACTTTCCTCAAACTAAGCTTTATTTTTCATCTAACATTAAATAAATTGTTTTACAAAGGTAAGTTGTCTGATGGCATGTATTTTGACCTGAAAAATTGATGTTTTGGTTATAACGCGATACCGCTTATAGTGCGGATTTTCGCGACTCCCGCGACATACGTTATATGCGGCCTACACTGTAGACGCATTTTTGCAATGCGGCTAAAATTGTGCAGACTCGCCCATGGTGACAAACATGCAACCGAGAGACAACATTTTCGATAAAGATCTGTCTGAAAGAGGAAATATTTATTTAAAAAGCGAGAACTCTAGCCAAAACCCCCAAAAAAAGTTCAGCCCGACATTTTTTTGTGCGTTTTTTTTTTGGTAAACAAATAAGAAGAACATGAAAGCTGCTGCCACTCTACGCGATTTAGTCACCCCTGATGAAGAAACTGGGCGGGTTTTTGAAATGTCGGGCTGAACCTTCCTTTGGGTTTTGTTCAGAGTTCCTTTTTAAACTTAGGGGACAAAACCATAACATAGACTTCTTCGACTGAAGTAACCTTTAAGATGGCACCAAAAGCACTAACGAGAACATGGAGGCAGCCGAGCACGTCAAGTGCACAGGCCTTACCGTCAAAGTGGAAAAAGTGGTTGGTGGTGGTGTTTTGCGGGTGCCGGGGAGCGTCGTCCTGGGCTCCAAGGGCACCAAGGAGCAAGGCAGTGTTGCGACCCTCGTCTCGCGACAGCTCCCCAGCCAGATCAAGGGCTCCGGGCTCTGAGAGCGACATGCGGCAAGTTGGGCATGACGTGTCCTGCTCCAGCCATGACCGCAGGCAGGAGCTGTACCCAACAGCACAATGTTGTGAAGGAGACACCACAATACATGGTCATTTCTCGAAGCAAGAACAAATTGAGCGTAAGACATCAGCTCTCTGGCTAACCGTTGCTACCTTAACATTAAGAAGTTACTATAGTCGGTTGCAAGCTAAGAAAAAACCGGAAATGCCTCTCAGAGGAAAATGTAATCCTACGCCGAGAAACGCCAGCCAATCGTTTTCATGACGTCACGATTCCGTGGACCAATCGCAATCCTCTTAAAAAAAAAAAAGCTCAACATGGCTGCTGGCCTTAGCAACGCGACGCTAGTTTCTCGTGACAATTATTCTGCTTTTTTGCACCGTGTTTGACGTGCCCGAGGTTACGCCACGAAATCTTAATGGTATCGGCTTGCGTTTGCAGCAGTTTTTGCGCGACAACGTGAGAATCCAACGACGCTATCGCCAACGAAAATTTCGAAGCAGGCGCGAGGCTTAGCGCTGATGAGAGGTGAGAAGCTACGCCGGACGTCGTCTGCTTCGTTGGATTTCTGTCTCCTGTGCCCCACGTTGCTACTCAACATAGTACCGGCACCGCTGCTTCAATTCACTGTGGTTTCCGCGGGGTGAGCTGAGATTGCCGTGCTTATCAGACGCAGGTGAGATCTGTACACCGGGAGTCCCAGTGCTGGAAGACGGTATGTTAGACAGTATCTTGGACAGAAAATGAATTGGGAAGACGGTACATTGGACATAACTTTCTTTACTAAACAGCTATTTCGTTGACAAAAACATATTCTAACTTATTTAAATGTCCTGAATGAATTAAATAAATATTGTAGTAGTTTAAGACATGTTTCCTGGAGGAAGAAAAAGCAACGTTGCTAGCGAACTACTTTCTCGACGGCGGAGGCACTTCAGATGGGCGCAATGCGCTTGTGGGTGGAGCTAAAAGATTGTTCTCAGGTTGCATCCGACTATAGTAACAAACAACAATGACACATCTCAACAATCTAGAGTTTGCTTCCCATTGAATCCCTACACAAGGATCCTTGGTCTCTTTGCTCTAACCACGGGGCAATTTTCTCCCGGTGCTAGCAATTTAAAAAACAACCAAATACAGAACAAAAATGAACATGGGTGCAAGTAAGTCAACAAGAAATTAGTTAAAACCGTGACATATCTTTCATTCGGCAACCAACCCAAACTGTAAAGGCGAATTCAAGTAAGCAAGCTCGAGCAATATAATAATTATCTAGAAACATGCTGATACTCTAATAACTAGCTATGGGAGTATGCCAACTATTTCATAATATGGTCACCAATCTGAGAGTTGTCACAAACTATCACATTGCATGTCATGCCTCTCACTTGCCTTTCCTAGTAGCATACTCATTGTACACAGTTGCCAGTGCAACCATGAGAAAATCAAAAGTGACAATGAAACACTCAATGAATGGCCTGTTCTATATTCTACATACTAGATGCAGTGAAAGTGTACTTTATGAACATGCAACATAGCTACAATAGAATGTGAAACAGGACTATGCATACTTGTGGAAAAGATGACCACAAGGCAGCTTCCTCGCAGATTCCATGTGGGTCCCCAGCAGATGGCACAGTCATCACTGTTTTTCTCGAGCTCGTCTGCTGTAGCCATTGGGTAGCTGTAAGGAAATCAATTGCCTTGATAAACCATACTTGCATATATTTGCCCTGCAAATGGCTGTTTCAAAATTGGTGTTTCGTTTACAGATTCAAGAGGAACCACCCTAATCGAGCAGGTCAGATGGAAGTCCTTCCTCACCAAAATTCTTCGATCAAGGAATATACCTGGGCAGGGCCGTACCCAGAAATATATTTCGGGGGGGGGGGGGGGGGGGGGGGGGGGGGGGGGGGGGGGGGGGGGTTTTCGGGGACAACGGCGGCCATTTTGAAAGTGTCTATAGTCTTATTTTCGCCTATGAATCATGTGCATCGGTGGCATATAATGGGGAGTTACAGCAAACCGGAGAACCGGTCCCGGTTTGGTACCCGGTAGCCGACCGGCGCCACTGCGCGTGCGCAGAGGTGGAGATTAAAATTGGCTGGCTGCCAGTGCACCGACCAGGGGCCGTACCCAGAAAAAAATTTCGGGGGGGGTCAGGACCCCCTAACCCCCCCCCTGGTTACGGCCCTGTACCTGGGTATTATATTGAGCTTGATCAAAATTACTCACTTGGCCTCCATGTGCTTTACAACCCTCAGGTAGTTCTTGTGCTTTTTGACACGCCTCTGAATTTCATAGAAGAGATAACGCAGCTGCATCAGGATCACCAGGCTGGCCATAGAGAGGAATATGTTGCCCCATAACTGTTATAAAATAGAAAAAAAAAAAAAAAAATTAGGATGTCACATTTATATTGTAGAGAGTTCTTCAAACAAGCTTACAATACAAGTGAAACAGCCAATGAGGGTACCACTGCAAAGAAGCTAGGATTCCATTAAACTCGAATTATATGTGAACTGTTGCATTTGTTAATGATTAAAAATCAAGAAAGCGCAAGGACATGGACAAGAACAAGAAGGCAGACTAACAAGGCGCTGACTTCCAACTGAAGTTTATTCGCGTTCTTGTCTGTGTCCTTGCAGTGTTTTAATTTTGGATCATGAAATATCAACTAGCCCAAACTTCTATGTTTGGGCCTAGTTGGTATTTGTTAACTTCTTGCAATCTCAAGTATGGCCTATGTTTCATAATGAGAGCTAAAAGAAACTGTTGGTCCATTTGATGATCCAACACGGCTTAAATACCTATGATACAATGGGAGATGTGCATGAATTACAAGACACTGCTACAGTACATGTATATACTGCTGTCAGTGTCACTATTGCCTGGGTGTACGTGCAGTAAGGCACATTCAATTTATTTCACACAAAAAACATCTTTGGGGGTATTACACTTGAAATTGAGCCACATTCAACAAATGGGTAAATGCTTACCCAACACTATAGTTTTAGGTGAATGCAGCAATTTGAACAAACCTTTCAATTGTGATTTTCTGCCATTATTCTGGAATTATACTCGGCAAAAATTTTTCTTGGCAATGCCGTGGAGGGTGCAGGCACACATTCCCTCTCCCATTTTGAGTGCTGAATAAAGCTGTGCACAGGCTCTCCTCCTCTCCACTGCATTGCCAAGAAAAGTTATTGCCCAGTACAGTAATCACAAGAGCTAGCAACCACATATATCAATTTAGCTTTGTCACTGATTACAGTATCACATATACTATACTACTGTTCAAATCACAAACCAAGCAACAGGCACAAGGCTGATGGTGCAGAAATGCAAATGATAACCTTATCATCAGTGTTTTCACACAGCCAGTTTTGCACCTGTTGCAGGAATGGTAACTCCCACACTCTCTAAAATTGAATGATTTAGTGGTTTTAGATGACGCTCAGCATGTTTGTAAATGGAACCATATGTTTATGTTCACAAATTAAAAGTTAATTAACAAATTTTAGTTAATTATTCGACTAATCACGACGATTATCCCCCTATATTATGTCCCCCTGGCCGTATAATTCATCTGTACAAATTGTAGAGAATTAAAAGCGCTAAAAACACGAAGGACTAGTCGAAGGACATACACCACGGAAATCCCACTTCTACAAGTCTTTCACATTTTTAGCACTTTTAATTCTCTACAATGTACCACCAACTCGCCCAAGTTCCTACCCTTTGCACAGACCGCATTGTATACCTTTCACAACTTTTTTTTAAAAATAAATTTGTTTGAATTGAACTTAGACACCCTGTATAATGGACCTAGATCAACGACCTGAGTTCATTTTTTTTTTTTTTTTGGTCAGCAACGACTACCATGTGATACAGGAAGAAAGCTGAGGACCATACTGTATTTATCTTGTTTGTTTAGATAACCAAGTTAATACAATAGTGCTCTATTTGGATAAAGTGAAAATCCAATTTATCAAATCTTCTGATATGTTTAATCATAACTGCAATATACAAATGAAAGATAAAAAAAATTAGAGCTTCACTTATGAAGCTATGTAGTTTGAGGCCTACCTATATATGGTTGTTTTATTTTCAGTTATTTGGAAGAGGTGGCTTAAACTAGGGCAAAGAAGGGGCAAAGCTACACACCAACATATGCAGATCATGACAGAAATCGATGGCAAGTGCTGTCAGCTCAAAGCACAGCTCAGCATAGTAGACATAGGCAGCACGGTTCTCCCACACTTTTTCATGATGGACATCCCACAGGTGAATCCCATACCTGCACATACCAGGACAATGTAGAAGCAAAGATCTCCTTGAAAACAAACAGATTGACACAATATAGGGAGAGGAATGTTAAACGATAGAAAAATAAAGTTCCTCAATCGGCACAGCCATGGAGGCACAGCCGATTTAAAACTAATAAAAATTAAATAAAAACAGGGTGGAATGGACCACCAAAATAATATTTTTGGTAAAAAGCCAATAAAGGAAAAGGTAAAAGAAAAGACTTACAAATCAGCAGGATTTTTTTTCTACATATAGTTGCGTTCTTTATTAAATAAATAAATAATAATAAATAGAAAAATGGATAACATAAGAAGTATTTACTTAGAAGGAAACTGTTAGATCATCAAATGGGTCAAACTAAACAGTTTCCTTTAAGTAAATGTAAATGTATTTACTAGTTCGGCATGCTCTGAAGCTCTGGCCAGCTCTGAAGCTTTCTCACTCTCCCATGCAAAAAGGAACAACACAAAAACTCAAGAAACGTTACAGACAATGTTGTCTTGGGACTAAAAGAAACAGAAAATGGTACAAGGATTGACATACCTGACTATCACATACAGAGTACGCACTGTGACCAGAGAACACTGGAATGAAAATAGGAATGGGGGAATAATTAAAAAACAGTAGTAAGTGCCAGTTAACTAGTAGTTACAGATTCAGGTTTCACTGCAGATACCACCTGCAAATATCCATGGATAACTAGCAGTTATGCATGGTTCTAGTCATCGTGCTCCCAATTTTTTAGAACTCTACTGCATGTTTATTTTAATATGAAAGCATCAGGTATATGCCCCATTATGCGAAAATCCAGTGGCAGCGGCGGCACGAACACGCAATGGTACCAATAATGGTTTGACATCAAATTTCTTGGGGAGGTTCCTGTAGACAAAGTAAATGAATGGCTTTGAAAAGAAAATTTGGTACATTTCGGTCTGGGTGGGAATCGAACCCAGGCCTCCGGTGTACAAGACAAGCACACTTCCCTGATGCCACGGCGGCTCCACAGTTCTTGCTGGCTAAAGGTGTGGCCAAGCGCATGCGTCATTGGGCACGTGACGGCGCAGCCAATGAGGAGGAGGCGGCGCCATGTCATGAGTGTATAAAAACATTTCACCAAAGGAACTATAAATAATGCTTTCGCATTCCCACACATAAGCAGCCTTAAGTGTCTCTGCCAATTTTTTACACGTGTGCGAGGAAATCAAATTTAGGCTGTTTGCTTTCGCATTCCCACACATAAGCAGCCTTAAGTGTCTCTGCCAATTTTTTACACGTGTGCGAGGAAATCAAATTTAGGCTGTTTAATAAGAAAACGAAGCACCAGAATTCTTATAAATGGGATGCTCAAATAAACTGCAGCATGAAAGGCTGTTTAAACTAAACAACAAACTAAACTATGGCTAAGTATGGTTCATCAAGGTCCAACAATGTTTTATTTATTTATTTACTAATCTATTTATTGTACCTACCAACAGCAATGGGCCTATAACGGTAGTGCATAAAAACATATTCGGAACACAATTCGCTGCAAAAACACACTACCGTAAAATGCCGGGCAAGCGCCCACTCAGGATTTAGAGATAATTGTGAAAAAAATGGGGGATAGGCGCTTGTCCGGTCATAAATTTTACATATCAATGTACTGTGCATATTTTGTCATATCTTACAAATTTGGGAATAGGCGCTTAATGTGGAATGGGCGGATGCGCGGTATTCTACGGCATAACAAGACTCCTCTTGAACGACACGAGGTCATCATAGAAAATGTCAACGAAATATGTGTCAAGATGATTAAAGAAGTTCTGAATGCGTTAACTAGTGGGGAAAAACAATACATACATGGGGTTAGGGATGGGCAGTATTTCAAATACTTTGTGTATTTTGCATTTGTATTTAATTACAAATTGGGTAATGTATTTGACGTGTGTATTTAAATACTAAAACGAGGGTATTTCAAATACAATTGTAATTAAATACATTTTGTAGGCGAAAATACATCCCTCAAATTTATTGTCACATCTCATTTTGCTCATACTAAGACGTGTTCAGAGCAGGAAGAAAACTATGTTCTGCACCGAATGCAGTGTCTCTCAATCAAGCACAAGCGTTTAATGACTTTGTGATTACGGTGCTAGTCCAGGGCAAGAATAGTAACGAAATCGACGTTCACGGGCAGACTGGCTAAATAAGTGCCTGCGACAACTTGTGATGCTTTCCAGCCCGATTTCCATCCATATCTTTGCCTGGAACATTCTAAATGCGCGGGTCATCCAGATTTTTGTAACTGGTGCGAGTTGCAGCAATAAAAAATTCTCTAGCTAGTGCTGCGTGTCTTGGTTGTCTCGGTTCCTTGTCGCTCAATATTAAAATGTAATCGACAAAAAAGCTGCTTGAAGCTCTGTACTTTTTTCACCTAATACGTCCAAGCTGATTACATTTTTTTGTGATTACATTTCTATTATGTTACTAGAGCCTCGCACACTAACTCCCGAGTGTGCGATGCAAAATTAAAATGAGATACCCAGAAACCCGTTGCAGGTGCCCTGAAGTCGCTGATGCAAATTTTGAGGAATGTATTTGGAAAAGTATTTGGAGGAGACCAAATACATATGGTTTTATTTGTATCTCGTACTTAAATGCTTTTTTGGAAATGTAATTAGATTTGAAATTAAATACATTTTTGATGAAGTATTTCGTATTTGTATTTCGATACATATTTGCATGTATTTTGCCCATCCCTGCATGGAGTTAATGGCAAATGTGCAATTGCAGCAAAAATGTCTCACAGGAACGTTAACCTGGATGCGAGATATGATAACTGAGCAGTGATAATGCGCACGCAAGCACCTGAACAAAAATATTAGGTCACCACTTTCTCATTTAGATTTTAACTCAATCAAACCTAACAAATTAAGCATACTAAACAATTAAGCACTTAATCTTTTCTTCATAAAATACAAATTGCATGTCCTGCAACAGAGGGCATACTCCAACAAAAACATAACCTTTCTCCTCCGGAGCTTAGTAGAGAAAAATAAATAACACCACTCAATTTTGTTCATTATGTTTCAAGGAAAGCCTTGGGGCAAAGGAGTAAACAACATAGACACCAAGAAGCCCGCTCAGTGAACCCACTCGGAAACAAAGTCGACAAACACGTGCCTCAGCAGCCATGAAGGCGAAGGTGTTGGCGCCAGCATGGAGTCCCACAACCACGCAGACTGCAAACAGGCCCACCGACAGGAGCAGAATGCCGGAGAGCAGTGCCAGTAGGCGCACATGGGTCAGCTTGGGAGTGGTTGGCGAGAACGACAGCTGGAGGAGGGCATAAAAAAATGCAAAACCAGACTAAAAAAAAGCAGACAAGAAACAGCTTCAATTGCATTTAGGCTTGAAGCTAAGTGTTAATCTCTAATAAAGAAATGTGGCACACAAAAACACTGAGACACTCACCTTTTGAGAAGTAATAAGACACATTATATAATGACTTAAAGGCTAGTTTATTCGAAGCCAACAGGACTGGATTTTAGAGGTTTAGCATTTGGTCAATTCCTTGTATCCAAGGGCTGGGATTAAAAAAGTTCTAAAATATAACCAGAATGTTTCAAGACTGATGAGGCATTTGTATGATATTAAAATTTATGCACTAAATTTTAGAAAAGTATAGTAAACATCTCTCATTAATTTATTTGTATGGTCATTTAGTCTTAGGTGCCATACATTTGATCAAACAAGAGAACATTTTATTCAACACCACTTCACCAATACTACCTAAATGAAATTTTTTCCATAAGTTTTACAATTAAAACAATGCAATGTAAATGAAAAAAAAAAAGGATGTTAATGTGAATCCCCACTGGTATCACTCACATCAACTATTCTGAAACTGCTGTTCAATCACGAAAAAAGTTTTCCACTAAATTTAGCGGGAAAAATTTTCTGCTAGATTTAGCGGGGAAAATTTTCCGCTAGATTTAGCGAGGAAAATTTTGTGCTAAATTTAGCGGGGAATTTTTCCGCTAAATTTACCGTGGAAAATTTTCCACAAGATTTAGCGGGGAAAATTTTCCGCTAGATATAGCGGGGAAATTTACCCATCTTGCACCGCGTGGTTATGCCGACGCCGCTCAAGCCGGAAACGGGCGACTAAGAGCTGAGCTCTAAAAATAATAGGTGTCCTGAAACATGATATTGCACTTATTTGCTAATTTTTGAAAATTTAGGCACAAAATTTACATCTACGATGATCAAGTACAGGGGTCTTTACATGCTTTGGCTAGGGGGCCAGATTGGGGACCTGTTGCAGTCTCGAGGGCCGAAAACTAGAGAAGACAATATAAATTAGAAAATATTAAATAAGCTCAAATAAGCATTTAAATACCAAAAATTAAACTAGAACAAGAATTTAAAAAAATATATATATATTGTAAGGTGGAAAAATATGTATACTTAATTTTTGAGTGCAATATTTTACTATTTATGACATTACAAAATAATTGTGACCCCGAGAACTCACCAGACATAAATCAGATTACACAGTAACTTTGGCATAATCACATAGGGCAGATGATTAATGAAAATGGTAGATCAGATTATATTGTTTATTAAATCTAGAATTAAAAAAAAAAAGACAATCATGAATGATGCGGGCGATTCATAATATTTACAAAGCGCAACGGGACATGGTCAAGGAAGATAGCGCTGTGTCTCTGTCCATTTTCCTTGTCCGTGTGTCCCGTTGCGCTATATAAATATTATGAACGATGAACGTAGGTTGTCAGGACATCCGCTTAAAATATACTCTTGCACAATAGCCACAGTTTAATTTTGAAAAGTGTACAGTAGCGTAGATATCAACATTCCCAAAGTTTCAGTTTCTTTTTACACACACCATGCACACACGTGCACCATCCCGCTTTGAAAATGGGCTTTCCTCTTAAGAATGTGACTATGGCGGGTAAGCCCTGTGGAACGCATTTCTTACCAGCATCGGTGCACTGCGGAGAAGCAACACCCGCAGAAGCACGCTCGGCGGGTGTTGCCTCTCCCCAGTACACTGTACACTATCTCATCACATCATAATATTTTTTTTATTTTTTTCTCTCTCCCCCCCCCCCCCCCCCCAATCTTCTATTTTTCACTCTTTTTCCCTTATAAGAGGTACTGTGGACCTTCTCGGTAAGGGCCTAACGCCTGCTTCACAGTGACCGGTGCTCGGAAAGAAGCGCGCTTAATGGGGCTAACTTGCTGCGGTCAACACTTAAAAAAATATGAGTATTAAAGCATCTCGAAGCGAATATAGAATAGCGTATAATTCAAAACTACTATTAAAAAATTCAAATATTCGCTCAACACCTACAGTTTTCTCCCATTCTTTTTTTATATCTTCGTTTGCGCTTTTGGTGTGTGTCGCTGTGCCATCATTTTTATGAGCGCCATTTTTTTTGCTTTGGTAGCAGCAAAATGCAAGCCAGACGCCACTAAAAAGACAGCGGCCATCCGCGGGCCAGCCGGAAAGCCTCCGCAGACCGGATCCGGCCTGCACGCCAAGGTCTGGAGACCCCTGATCTAGTACATCGCTTTTTCAATACTACTGCAAATATAACGAATGATGTTAGCAGTAGTGCTGTTAACTATGCATTTGCTCTAAATAGATATATACTTTTTTAAAAAAACAAACCACATTTCTAGTATTGTCAATAGGCCCTGGCACATAGAAAGAGGAGTTGGCAAATATAAATCTTCAAGCAATTTCTGCCACACTTACATATTCAAACCTGTCCTTGCACAGCTGGGCCAGGAGGTGTAGGAAGCCTAGCACAGAAAACCAGCTGCACCAGAGAACTACCTCATCCATGTACTGCACATTCATGACACCAAAGATGAAGATGAACTTGTAGAACACAAAATTCCAGAACTTGTCTTTCATGTGCTGCAAAAGAAAAGTGAAATGAAAAGGAAGGTTACAGAAAAAAGAACCATCATCTATTGCCAGGAACTCTAAATGCTACTGATGCAGCCTGTATGCTGCACTTCTGGTACAAAGATCCCTCCTATATTGGCTATTGTGCCTATCATTAGTTCAACACGTAAAATGTGTTGTGATTGAATACACTGCATGAAGGGCAAAAAGCAACTATTGGCTCTACTTTTTTTTAGCAGCTGAAAGTACCCCGACAATACACACCTGTTGTTCAGATACCCGAAGTTCGCCGAACACCAGCTTCTGGATCACCTTGCCAATCAGGATAAGGCAGCAGTAAGCCATGTTAATTACAGTCTGGAAATTGAAAAAAAAAAAAAAAGAATGTTGCTTTAATACCCTGGGTAAATAAAACAGGAGGCACCATGTACACAGCCAAAGGATAAGTCTAGAGTTCAAAACTGTGCAATCCCTAGTGAATGACATCTGTTTGAAAAACAAAATACAAAATAATTCACTTCAAGTAGTAATATATGCACCACAGCACCAGTGCTGCAGCAACCACAAAAATGAGATATATTGGCAATTTCATCTCAAATCATGCAATAAAAAAGTATGTGACCTTGAGAGTATCTCTGAACAGACACTTCATCCACAGTTGATTTTTACTTTTTAAGTTCAATAAATATGCATTGCTAAATTAAAGTTGGTTATCTGTTTAGGAATGCCAATACATCACCAGAAAACATGAAACAATGCCAATTGCATGACCCCAAGTTCATTACTGTAAATAAAGGTTATGCTAATGAGAAAGAACCCCAATATGTAATTTAAAGACAGTATTTTTCACACCCATTTTTTATGTAAACAAGAAAAGTTAGTTGGAATATATTTTTGGTCTTTCGTTTTCAGGTAAAACTCAATATTTGCCTGTATTTACACTCAAAGCATTTTTTTTTTTATCGAAAGTTAAACTTCATTTTTTTCCGAATTTGGAACATGAATCATCATTTTCACCTTACTTGACGTTGTAAAAGTGTGAAGCTCATTAACGAAACTTGTTGAAAGCACACATAACAGAAGCAATGCAAATGCTATTCGAGTAATACTTTCTAAAAAAAAGTTAGTTTTGTAAAGGTAATATTGGTGAGAGATTCACTTGATACAGTCTTAAAAGTTCAGAAAACAATTGCAAGTGGAACACTTCTGATGCCAAGCTGGGATCCCCTCGTCAACAGCAAGCTAGGGCAGACTGTCGGCGAGCTTTACTCAATGATCAATAAAAACAATCAGGCAAGAGCTGATAATGATAAGGCAATGTTGGTGGAGAGCATTGTCAGGTTAGTAAAAATATGTGCGAGAAATTTTGCACAGAAAGTTCACCACAAAATGGTACTGCACTCCTGAAACGCAATGTCTCTGGAAAAGACAACACTGACGATTGCAATTCTGGACCCGTTTCAGAATGTTCCACCAAATAAGTCGTTTGACCATGCATCAATCCGATTTGCACATTTATGACCTTATGTTAATAAAACATTCCATGTCCTAAGAGCAATAAATACTTTTTATTGTCAATTATACTTATTTCTATATATAACCTGGCAAACCCAGATTCTGTAATAGTTTACAGAAAAATCCAACCTCCCCTATTACGACCTTTTAAAATACCGACCCATCTTTACCCCCCCCCCCCCCCCCCCAATTTTTTTTTTTTAAATATAGAACCCCAAGACAGATAGATGGCCCTAAATATATTATCTTACAGGGAAAGTCATTTTTCGACAAAAGACATACTGCCTGTCTCTGGTAGTGTTTTTAGGAACAATTTCAGACTAATATAATTTGAAGAGAGTGAGAATAATGTTTACCTAATACATTTAAGATATTATGCTTTCATAGTCAGAATTATATTTTATACTGTATATTTTTTTGTTTGCTTAATAGCCCAAACTTGACACAGTGACAAGAGCTTGCGAAAATTGGGATTTGAATTGCCTTAGCAAGCTGAGTGATGCATTTGCAATAAGCAAAACATTAAAGGGACACTGACACCTCCCAAAAAATTTTTACATTTTTTTTTAAATTCTTGTTAGGCAATCTATTATGGTGTCAGAAGACTACCCAATCACTATCTCGCTACAGCATCAACTATATTTTTAATAAAGTAAAAACAAACACAGCTGCTTTAAACCGAAACCAAAACTTCACTGGGGAGGAAGAAGAAATATTAGCGGTGAGATGTTTTGGTGGCGCGCCCTCCTATGGTTTCCCCCTGTGACGTCATTACCTTGCAAACAACAAGTTCGATGGTGTTTGTAAATAGCATGGTGGAAGCTTGAAATCATTGCACTCTCAAAGGAACACTGCCAACACCGTCAAAATTAAAGTTCTTTCATTCCTCTTTTTTCCGTCGATGATAAATCCTTTTCTGACGTCATAGTCAGCGTTCGGCTAACCGTGGAAGGCCGACCACAGCGACGCTTTCGGTCGCGCACGGGGCTAATAGAACTGCAACGTGATCAAAAGCTGGGGCACTGGAGGGATCAGCACGTGATTACCAATAATCAGGTGGCTGTGCAACTTTTTTTTTTTTTTTTTTCATTCAACATATTTGCAATTTTTTAGAAGCCACAAAAAATGGGTGTTATATTTTCAGTCTAGTTTTAGTATTGAGTGTGCCTTTGATGACCGACGACTTTGATTATTTTAGGTGGTTGTGTCTAATCCCTAGAAAATGGCACGTGACCATTGAGAAGAGAGTGAGTGCGACTCAAAAAGGTCAGTTCTCGATCGGCGGTTTTCGGGCGGAAAGAAAACGAATTTTGAGCTCTCATATGTCATGTACAAATAAAAACCTTGGCAAGCATAACCCCAGTAAGTGTCCCATTAAACAATCCCTAGATCATGAATGGCAACAATAAACAGCAGCTCAAGAATTACCTGCTAGCAAAATGTTAGCAATTAGCTAACAGATCTTTGAGGATTCGTGGTAACGAATTGAAGACGTCATCAACAGCTCAAAATCCAAATAAGCTACACAATGGACGGACGGGCCCGGTCTGGTCCGGTCCGCTTGCTCGCGGATCACGTGAGAGCAGGCTCGCCGGCGGGTGTAGATATTTTTCCCACAACCTCTAAAACATTCACCTGCTGGTCGCCACAAATACCACTGACCCGTAAATAGCTCGAAAGCCAAACCCCAGATTGGCGTTATTACCGCTCCCGCCCTGCCTCGTTGCGCCTCTACGCCAAGAGCGAAAACGGCCGATCCAACGGCGCTAACAGCCGAGCTAAACATGGCCCATTCCGGAAACACGTCGTGCAACCCACGCGAAGGGGGCTCCATCAGTCACGCCTTAGTGACGCTATAAAAACGTAGTCGAATCCATGCATCTCAGAAGGCGCGTGACCGCATATCCACTCGTGGATATGCGGTCACGCATATCCCCTGGAACCTCCGCAGTCGTTCAAAATTTTGTGGACATCGCCGCCAGCTTTAGATGACCGGGTGATTTCGTCAGTCGCTGGCTTCGTCAGACACGACGTAATTTCATTTTTAATTGTGAAACATCAACTCTTAAAGAAGAAAAAAAAAAAAAATGGACTAGATTGCGTATCTTCTTTCCTAGAATGCGCACGGCATGCTGAGAACAGTTTGAGCGTGCAATTAGCGTAAAACGGGTGCCGATAAAACGCATGTCGACGAAACGCGTGAAACGTGTGTCCATGAAAAGTTGTCCACAAAACGAGTCTCGACGAAACGATAGGGACCCAGGTTTCTTCGTGTCGTCACCCGGCGGTCCGGAGACTCGCGACTACTACACCGGCATCCTTTCAGAACCCTCGTCGTGAAGTTCGTTCCAAATAGTTCTAAAACTGGATCACCTTGCAGTGGTGCAGAACCAAAAGTAGCACCGGCTACACTTGCAAATCGAGCAAGGTACTTTGCACGCTGGTGCAAAACAGGGCAGGTACCTCGAACGGTCCTCTTGCAAGCGAAGGAACCGGCCGCCATCAGGTGTTGTAGCGGAAGAGAGTGCCCCACAGAGCCACTCCAAACTGGCCACAGGCTCCACAGGCTCCATTCGAGGGAGCGGGTCAACGAACTTGGGGCTGCTGCACCCCGTCAGTCGACCCAACTTGCCGGGGACGTCGCCAACGCAGAAACGGTCAGCGAGAGCGCATCCTACCAGGTATCCTCGATAGCATCATTCGGAGCAAAGAAAACTAAAAAGGAAGCGAACCAAAAAGAAGCCCGGGCAACGTGCTGCCGGAAGTGAAAGCGGAAGGTGTGAGGCTGCGCCATCAACTAGGCCGGCACCGCTTCCGCGAGGAAAAGCTTGGCGACCCTGTTACGTAAGCAGTTTCCGAAGTGGGCCAGGAAAAGTTACATCACGGCCGCTATTCCAAGACGGCCCTTTCTCGGGGACGACGAGACGCCGTCGGTGTCCCGACGCGCTTCAGCGTGGGCGAAGCGGCAGCGCCCACATGGTGCCAGTACTATCCGTACATGCAAGGTCGGGAGGCAGGAGGGCGAGGCAGAACGCTTCCCACCATCCGGGCGAATAGGAGCGGTTGCCAACTGTTTGAACGACAAGTGAAACTAAAACTCTATCGAGAGTTTCTGATGGCGGACGTCTCCGTACGAAACGAGTGCGACTTCGAACGCTGCGAAATTTGTTTTCTCGTTTTCAGTCAAATCTGCCACTCTAAAAGCGGCACACACCGGAGAAGTCGGGGACAGCTGGTCGCCAGAGTGGCGCCAAATTCACAAACATATCAATTCAACCGGCCCTTCAACTCTCGGTGTCCAGGTGGGCATTACCTTCGCGCCTTGTCGATTCAGTCGTGCCCACATCATAACTTCTCGGTGGAGGGAGAGAAATAATAAGGGCGAGACCGCGAGCAGTGTTGTACACGTTCTTCCAAAAAAAAAAAAAAAATAAATAAATAAATAAGAACAACGAAAGCTGCTTTCGTTCCTTCTAATTTTTGGAACGCGTTCTCGTTACAAGTTCCATCTATGAGAAAGGAACTCGTTCCCGTTACAGCTTAAAAATGGAACGTATCGTTACATATACATTTCATTTTAGTTTGCTAATGACCATATTTAATGAAATAAATTTTTTTTATATATATCTATCCCATTAAATGAAAACATACGAATTTGAACGTTCTGATGGAAACATACCAGGAGAAGAAAACAAGCTGAAGCATAACCTTTAAAAATCTGCCGAGGTGCCCGCAATCTGACGGAGGTTCATTGCGGAGAAGGACCGAGCTTTCGGTTGCACGTCAAAGGATCCGCAGGTGGTCGAAATTACTCCTCAGTCCTCCGCTGGGGCGTGCCAGAT